CACCCCATCCCTCCCACCCCCCACCACTCCAGCTTAATTCTTTTTAAGTTAAGGTGATTCATTAATCATATAACTGAACAACTTGGTTTTTATAGTTTTAAAAAATATAAGTAACCTAATTTTTTTTCAAGCAAATCCAGAAATTAAGAAAAATCACTAAAGCAGGCATGTGCCCTCCTTTGGGGTTTGGGAACTGTTGACAATATATGACTTTCATTTAAAAAATATATGTCTGTACCTCATAGAAAGGTAGTGTACACAGTGGTTCAGAGCGTGGGGTCTGGGGCCAGACTTGGGTTGGAATCCAGACCCTTAATGCTGTCTTATCAGCTGTGTGAGCTTGGAGAGATTACCAAATTGTTCAGTGTCTTGGTCTCCTCCTATATGGAATGGAGATAGGAATGGGTCCTCTGTTATAGGGCTGTTGTGTGGATTACAGTGCTTCAGTCCATCAAAGGTGTTGGAGCAATGCCTGGCTAAATAGATGGTAGCTCTTAATTTTATTAGTGCCCTGTTGCATTTGCATAGGGGCTTTTTGCGGGCTCTTTATAGTTGTTTTGCTTCTGGGTTTTTTGTTTGTTTGTTTGAGAGAGAGAGAGTGGGGGAAGGTCAGCGGGCGAGGGAGAGAGAGAAGGTTAAGTTGGCTCCACACCCCCAGTGCAGAGCCCCGAACAGGCTTGACCCCACCACCCTGAGATCATGTCCTGAGCCAAAATCAAGAGTCAGGTGCTCAACCAACTAAGCCACCCAGGCGCCTCTGGTTTTTATCACAGATGCACATCAGAGAGGAAATAGAGTTGCCCCCTCATTACAGAGGCTGTGTTTATTCCTCGATTCACAGCCGTGTCAGGGAAATCATCTCATGGGTCTGGGCTGCTGAAGGATTGAGTGTCCATACGAATATCAACTACCTGACTCTTTTGTAATCCACAGAGTTGAACTCTGCAGTCGAGACTGATGATCAGCGAGAAGGTGAAAAGTTGACTTGCGGCAAGGACACTACCAGTTTCAGGAGTGAGGGAAAAGAGGAGCCTGAGTATTCAGGCCAGAGCTCATACTGAATCCAAGAAATGAGGCGGCGACTGGGGAAGGAGGTCTCTTCCATCAAGAACCTGAAACACCAAAGTAAAATAATGTAAAAGACACCCTTAAACTGACAACAAGTTTCAAAGCTGGAGGGTTGAATTTAAACGGCTTATTTTAAGTTAAGCATCTGAAAATATTGAAGTCTAAATCATGAAAAGTTACTCGTTAATTGCATCTGTGTTTGCTTGTCAGTTACTTATTGAGAAGATAAAGGCCGGTTCCTTCTTCAGCTTTGTCTTCCTGCGTTAGCTGAAAGCCCGCTGAGATCAGAGACTCAAGAGGAAATGGATAGAAATAATGAAGCAAGACATATTTCTTCCTGTACTCTGGCAGCTTTTCCAGGCTGCCAATTTTGAGTAATATAAAGCATACGCAGGCAGGCAGTTAACTATATTAAGACGTACCTAGCACCAGAGGGAGTGGTGGGGAAGTTGAAACTCCCGCCAGAGAGCTAGTCTCTTGTTCCACCATGTGTTTAGGTATCAAGCTTATCCTCCCCCTGGTCTTAGTTTTAATGGGTTTTGATTTCCTTGTGCTCCCGAACCTTGAGGTGGAAATATGATCATCCTGAACATACTACTTACTTTTACCTGCGAACTTGAGCTTTATTGGCTTAAAAAAAAATCATGAACAAAAAAGCCAGGAAAAGATAAATTTGCATTTTGAAAAAGAAAAAAAAAATTGAACACATCTTTTGCTTTGAAATTTTTTCCCCTTGAGATGAATATCTATGCTTCATAAATATTCACTCAAGTCTGTTTTGACAATCGGCCTATATGAAGAAGATTCTAAAACACAACCTGGAAGTTTTAAATGTCTTCTTCTTCTTCTTTTTTTAAAGATTTATTTATTTCTTAGAGAGAGAGACAGAGCATGAGCAGGAGGGGCAGAGAAAGAATCTCAAGCAGACTCCATGCTGAGCACGGAGCCCAATGTGGGGCTCAATCTCTTGACCCTGAGCTGAAATCAAGAGTCAGTGGCCTGGCTGACTGCACCACCCAGGCGCCCCATGGAAGTTTTAAATATCTTCTATGAATGGAAAGGCTTCACTGTTCTCAGAGCATCCACAAATATACCTTTGAATTTTTTCACTTTTCTTTTTCTTTAACCTGGTCTGAGCCCTACCTCTTTCCCACTCCCAAGAAATAGAGTTCATCCAACATTCCAAATGTTCATGGCATTGAACTGGGGGCTTGGATGGAGGTAAATGAAGGAAGGGAAATCTCTTCTGCTTGTGGAGTTCACATTCTAAGATTGAAAAATCTTAGTTTCTAAAAGAAACCACTGCTCAAGATATTAGTTAAAAGAATTTTGGAAGATTCTTGGGAGGGGTCAGTATAACTTAGGGTTCTATGAAAATATTCCAACAATAAAATTTTAGATTTAAAGAGCTATAAATATCAGGTTGGACCATGTTCACATCTTTTTTTAAGCTTATCATCGATTTTTTTTTTTCCCTGTCTCATTTCTTCCAAACATGAAAAATCATGACTTAGGCTTCTGATGGGTTAAAAATATATTCTGACTAACATTTAGCCCTGAATTCCACCACATGCTCTTATATGAATAATGCCACCTCATCCCAAATTGAAGCATGGGAAATTTGCAATTTGCTTAAAGGATTGTAAATGAGCCTGTTGTCAAGCTGCCAAAGTAAATTAACAAGATTTAAATTTTTCTGTAATATCAATCAGAAATTCCAATGACTAGTAATTAAAGCAGTCCTTGCTCTCTTGTGACTCATGCAGTGTGACAAAACAGTCCTAATGTGTCACCTCTCTCCTTCTGCCTGTTTGATTATGTTGAGTTGGGCACCAGGTGGCTTATCCTGTAGGGTGTCTTACAGTCTATTAAATTCTAAATGTGAAATAGAAATAAAACTCAATAAATATTTTATGGTATGGGTGAGTATATATTCCTCGAAGCCATCCTGTACCCTTGAGTTTTATGCCAACAGCCTTTTCTATAATAAAATAGTTTATCATTACAGAAAAAATTTTTTAAATGCGCAAGAGGGAAAAACTATCCACCATCCATTGCCCAGAGATAATCACTTTTAATAATATTTTTGTGTATTTGGGCCCAGAGATTTTGCTATATATTCAGAAATAATTGTGATCATATGACCTATACATCATACAAATTGACTTTAAATCATCTTTTTTGGATTATAAAAGTGATACGGTAACATTACTGAACATTTGGAAAATAAAGAAAAGAAGATAAAAGTAACTAGAATCCCACGCAGCGATAACCACTATCAATACTTTACTTCTAATTATAATCTTTTTCCTTTGCATATTCATATATATTTAAAGGTACACAATAGTGATTTTTTGGCATAATGAGCAGAAGAATATTTCAAATGATTTTTTTTTTGCAAGATTTTATTTATTTATTTGAGAGAGAGAATGAGATAGAGCATGAGAGGGGGGAGGGTCAGAGGGAGAAGCAGACTCCCTGCTGAGCAGGGAGCCCGATGCGGGACTCAATCCCAGGACTCCAGGATCATGACCTGAGCCGAAGGCAGTCGCTTAACGAACTGAGCCACCCAGGTGCCCTATTTCAAATGATTTTGATGGATGATGTGATGCAGAGTGGCAAGTGACAGTGTGTTTACTTATCTTTCATAGAAAAACTTAATAATTCAGGTCATTAAAAATGAATTTTAAAGAAATAAAAAATAAGGTTTTGGGTTACTTGACTAAGAAACTAGGACCTACTTTTTTTTCCAGGAAACTGATTGTGTATGTTGAAGGCAGGGGAAACAAGAAAATTCTGGTCTGGGGGCTTCTCCCTGTCCGGTGCCATAACTACATGAAAGAATTTAGCCTCCGTTAGCAAGAACTGGAACCTGACTTCCATAGGTAGTCTTTTAAATGGTCATCAAACACAGCAAATGAAGGATTCCAGCTGAACTCGGGGGTGAAGGATGCAGCTCAAGAAGCACATTTTCTGGAATTATGGAAAACACACAAACAAACCCAGAAGCAGAAGAGAAATACTTGAGAAAGGTCTAACTCTATAAAGACTTGTTGCCAGGCTATCGAATGCTTCTGACAACACATATTCAATTGCATTTCTAAGTTTGGAACTCAAACTATGTAAGTTAAGTCTCAAGAGCTCTTTTATATAGTTGGACTATTATGGAGTTTTCTATTAAGTATTTTTTTCCAAGAGAGGTACACGTGTAGACTTTTGGGGGCATTTTCGTACCTGAGAATGTCTTTGTGGATGTTCCTGAGTCATAATCCTGTCCTTGTAAATTCCATAGACATTTCTCCAACGTGTTTTGCCAATTGGGGTTGCCGGGGAGACATCATAAATCAGCTTTTTTGGGGTGTATTTGTAAACAATTGGTAATTCCCACTTGATCTCTTGTTAATTTTTTTCCTCCTTATTTTTCAGTCTTGGCCCATTAAACTGTCATTTGGATTCTGATATTGAAAATAAAGAACTGGCTTGCCTTTCAATCCCAAAGCATTCATTAGGGATTTGTATACAACAAGACTATATATGCAACAAGATACCATGTTATCCATATATGCACATAAACGCATGGGTTCTCATGTCCATATAGGATAGCCTCACCAACCCTCAACCGAACAGCTTCAATATGCTGTTTCAAAGACAGGCATCACGGGGTGCCTGGGTGGCTCAGTCGTTAAGCGTCTGCCTTCGGCTCGGGTCATGATCCCAGGGTCCTGGGCTCAAGCCCCGCATCGGGCTCCCTGCTCTGTGGGAAGCCTGCTTCTCCCTCTCCCACTGCCCCCTGCTTGTGTTACCTCTCTCTCTCTGTCTCTGTCAAATAAATAAAATCTTTAAAAAAAAAAAAAAAAAGACAGGCATCGCTTATGTCAGTGGCCTCTGGCTGGGGTGGGTGTTCTGGGCCATGGTGAGACTGAAGTTAAAGTTTAAGGATTAGTCTTTGTGACTGAATGTTTCATCTGTTGGTTGGTAGAATTCATGCCAAGATTGAGAGGAGTATTTTGCAATGAAGTCCCGACTCATCAGAGAAGGAGAAACACCTGGCTTGGAATCTGTTACTGTCCAAAATGAATTCTTGAACATGACAAGTAAAGCAGCAGCTGAGTGTGTGGGGTGAACGGTTGAGGACTACAACAACTTGGTCTAATTACATGGCGGTAATTGAATTTTCTACTCGGGATATAACACCATCACTTAATTGATTTAGCTTGTATCTCAGTAAACTCCCTTCATCTTCATATTGAAGTTATTTTATCAATTTCAAAAGAAACTCTTTAGTTGTGCTGTACTGCTGTTAATATAGTTATTTTTTTCTCAGGAACACAAATACAATCCTTAAGAAATATCTTATTTTTGGGACGCCTGGGTGGCTCAGTCAGTTAAGCGTCTGCCTTCGGCTCAGGTCATGATCTCAGGGTCCTGGGATCGAGTTCCGCATCGGGCTCCCTGCTCAGTGGGGAGCCTGCTTCTCCCTCTCCCTCTGCTTGTGCTCTCTCTGTCAAATAAATAAAATCTTAAAAAAAAAAATATCTTATTTTTAGGTTCTGAATAACTGTTATCCTCTAATTAAAAAAAAAATCTCTTTCTCCCTTTCCTTTGCAATCTGGGAGAGCTCAAGTTGGTTTTCCGTATCACTGGCTCACTTTTCTGCTGTGTGCATTCTGTTTTTTACTACCAGAAAAGCACCTTTCAGTTCTGTCTTAGGTGGCTAAACCAAAATACCACAGATCTGGTGGCTTATAAACAACAGAAATTTATTGCTCATGGTTCTGGAGGCTGTAAGTCAGCTGAGGGCCTCCTCCTGGGTCACAGACTTCTTATTGTGTCCTCCAGGGCAGAAGGATCAGGGGAGATCTATGAGATCTCTCATAAGGGCACTAACCCCATTTGTAAGGGCCCCACCCTTATGACCTAAGCACCCTCCAAAGGCCCCACCTCCTAATACCATCACCTTTGGAGGTTAGGATTTCAACACAGGAATTTTGGGTGGAAACAAACATTCAGACCACAGAAGTTCTATTGTACTTTTGTTTCCTTGTCGGTCTTTATTATCTCAGCCAACTCCTTTTTCGTTTGCTTCTGATTTTCTTTTAATCTCAACTGGTTTTCTATGACTTTTGGCTCCTTTTTCCCTGAGGAGTGTGTTTTTGCAATCAACTAACGATACCAAAACAATTCAGAAGGTGTTTGGCTCATGCATTAGATGTTTTTAAAAGTTTAATCTTACTCTGACACTTGAGGACGAAAGCTCCATGGAGGCTCTTAAATTCTTAGTTGAGACAGGAGAACTCTAGATTCAGTGTCTGTCCGCAGCCAGGGTGTGGATGCCCTGGGTGTGATTCCTGGCCACATGGGTGCTGGCAGAACTAGCCTCTTAGATCCACAGCTGGGGGCCAAGTCCACGTGTGCATCTTCCAACCCAATTTCCAAGCTTTGGCATATTCATCGAGTTCCAGGGTGGCTCTGTGATATGGAGATGGGATTTTTTTTTTGCCCCTGACCCTACTTCCTTCCAACTTGATACTCTGAGCAAATAAAATACAAGAAAATGTGAGCTACACTAATACCAAACTTTCCGTTTCTGCCTGAAAAACAGTACTTGTGGGAACCATCCTTCCCGGTGCCAACTTATCTCCC